AGCATCTCATAGGGAGAAGCTACAGTCGTCGTCTCCTTCTGCAGCAGTCTGAGTCAGGCAAGGTGCCGTCTGCGATAAAATTGGTGTTGCGAATCCGAACTCCAGATCTGTGCAAGAGCATTTAGCTCTGTGCCTAAGAGAAACCTTCTGGCTACAGGGTGAAAGACTCCGGGCTAAAATGCCTGGAGAAGAAAATGGGGTTTTAATTTTATAACTGCAGTTGTAGATAGTGTAACACCTCTTTTCGGTGGGTCTGAGTAAGCAGAGCACGGGGGTGCAATGGATGGATACAGGCACCGGCGTTGGATGCAGCACAAAATGAGCAGCCGAAGGGCATTAAATCATGTAAGACAAACAAAAATTGCCCCAATTCCTGGCAAATTACGTGGTCTCATTTTTCAGATACTTGGACTAGTTGGGCAGCCTTTGAGCCCTTGGCCAAGGAGCTGGTGAATCAATGGGCATCACCTAGGGCATCCTGCAGCTGATCTCCTCGCTGTCAGCAGGGAGGGTGTAGGGGCAAACCTCACCTTACCATGGTCTGCAATTAGCTTTGCTCAGCAGCCTGGATGAGACTAACGAGCTTTCCAGCCTTGATAGGTGTCATCTCTTTGACCTGACTGTACTTTCCAGGGATTTCTCTTTCTGTCAGTAATGTCTCAGTCCAGCAGTTTTGACTCCAAAGCTTCTTTTACAATACAAATGTGTGGTGGTTTTACATATTTTTTTCCATTTCCTCTTCTATTTTTAGCTGCTTCTTAATTGGCAGGATAGGCACTGGACGTCAGCCTTGAGCGGCAGATTGCTCGGCGCTCCGCTGCTGTGGTTTCAGCGGAGGTCAGCGTGTTGCACGGGCTGGCACGTGGTGGGGTGTGCTCGCATGCCACGGAGCTGGCTCCGCTCAACCTGCACTCAACCTCATGCCCACACGTGGTTGTAGTGGTGGGTGGGTTTGGGCTGTGGCTGGATGCCAGGGAGGGCAGAGGTGGGCTCGCTCACAGGAGCCTGGCTGGCTGGGACACTCAGTCAAGCCTTGGCAGCTTATGCCATGGTGGTTCAGAGCTATCCAAGGGCTCTCCCAGGAGCCGTCCCGCATGGATTTTGGCCTCAGCCATGTCCGTTGCCCTAAGATGAACCTCTTTCCCATCTGAAAGCGGCAGCCTTAACACAGGGGACGGATGGGGGATAGCAGTAGCTCAGCGGTGTGATCCTGTCCCACCACGCTGACCCTGTTGTCCTCCACTCCTGGTCAGCACCATGTCCCAGACCTGGTTTGGGAGGTGGGTCTCACCAGCCCCAGCCGCAGTGGTGCCAGCTCTGAGCTGGGCGGCAGGGCCCTGCAGCACCGACTGATGCCAACAGAAAGATCTCTGCTCGCTGTTCTTTCTTGCTGTCACATTTGTTCCCAAATACAATTATTTTGTCTTGCTGAGCTTAATGGGAATTAAAAGAATCTTTGTGAATCAGCCCTGCAGGGGGTGGGGGAGGGAGGGACGATAAAACGCAGGCCGAGAAGTGACACAAAGATGGGTGGTGTGTATATGTTCTGCCTGATGATGCCATCTCGCAGGAGCCATGAAAGACCTGGGCTGTGACGCCAGGGCAGGGACACACGACTCAGCTGTGCTGCTGCCTTTGTGCTGCCCTGAGTCATCCGGCCGGCCCTCAGCATGAACTTTCCCTGGCACTTGGGAGAGCGTCTCCCGGTGTTGGAGCATCAAGCACCTCCACTTGCTGGCGATGCTTGAAGGTCTCCAGCTAACCTCCCTTTGGATGCTGGACTCTCCAGCTGCGCTCGCTGAACACAAAGGCTGTCACTGGAGATGATTTCCCAGTTTCGTGCTTGATTTGTAGAATCAAGACTCTTACCCAGATATCTGTAATTAGCCTGGTTGCCTCTTAAAAACCCTTCTACTTTTCTCCCCTCGGTTGGCAAAGCCACAGGGACGGCAGACCTGTGGGGGCGAAGGGGAAGGCAGGAGCTGATGGCATGCTTGTCTGCTGGTGGGAGGAGGATGGCTGGTGCTCATCAAACCAAACACCAAACCATGGGCAGCAATCAGCTGGGGCTTCTGATTTTGTTGTGCTTCACACTGATGATAGGCAGGAGATTAAACACTTGGTTTAATCTGGGTGCTGAAGGAAGCCCCATCACTCCAAAGGGTTAGCTCAGGACATGGTGGCTGGGTTTTTCTTCCCTTTCCCTGGGCCACCCCTTCCAGGGCAATGCTGGAGATGGGACCTCAAGTTATCTCCTTCAAACTGGTGCCTGGGAATGAGAAGACGGGTTTCCCTTGGTCCCCAGCTTCCCAGGAGTTCAGAGAACATGGAAGGAGCTGAAATCCTTCTCTGTTGCCTGTGTGGTCTCGTCTCCATGCCTTGAAAGGGAAATGCATGTGTTGTGCTGCTGAAATAAGGTCGAGCACATGATGCCCACTGCTCCTGGTCCACCACATCCCTGGGCAGATGTTTGGCATCCTTAGATACGGACTGGCAGCAGAGAGGGAAGGGCCGGTGTGAAGCTGCATGGCCCTGGCCAGCTTACAGCCCACAGGGTCGATGCATTGATTCCCCGGAGCGCAGCAGGTAGCTATTCTGGGAACACAGCATTTCCTTCAGTCGGTTCTTGGCAATTAAGACAGACTAAGCGACCAACTTCAAAAAAACGCTGCGATAGTTGGTATATATAGCAAACTCACCACATTTCCCCTCGTTCCCTCCAAAACCTGCCTCCTGTGCTGAATGAGTTTCTGTGGGACTAAGGTAGATGTTTGCCTTTTTTTTTTTTTTTTTCTTTCTTTTTTTGGCTTTTTTTCTGCTCTGCTGTCCTTATTACTGGCTCCGCAGCTCTGGCAGACGTCCTGCCATCCCACAGCCCGGCGCTGCCCAGGGATGCTGGCGCAGGGGCTGAGGTCTTGCCCTGGGACCTGGCATGTGCAGGCAGCTCAGCCTTGTCCAGGACTGGGTGTCCTGTCTGCAGGACGAGGCGCGACGGTGGCTGGAGGCTCCCTGCTGTCCTGCAGGCAGATGGGATACACCGAGGGCAGC